GTGTGTGTGTGAGTATTTTTCGCTGAATGAAATCACTAGTAAGTCAAACTTTGCTTGATTTACAATAAAATGAATTCTGCACCTCGTTCAAAACCACATTTTTAATACCATCTAAGATAACAACAAAAATGGGTTTTAAAAAAGCAAGATAAAAACACTACTTCTGAAAGGAAAGTATTTTAAAAAAGATCTGTTTATCCTGTAGGATGATGTCGCTTTGCAAGAGTTCTTGATTTATGATTAGAACCTTTGACACTTAAAATGAGAAATTTATGGAAGTAAAGAGCTAGCACACAATCTAAAAGTATTAAAGATGTTTATATTGGTGTGAGATACTTCTTTTGATATAAGAAAGTTCTCTGTTAAAGGGACATTTAGCCTCTCTGTAACACTTTTCATTCATGTCAGTTCTGTGTTTTCGTAAACAATTAAAGTTAAAAGATCATTGTTAATATGTAACATCTTCCATGAATAAAACTCAATGTAAGACATCTGTCAGCAAATCAAACTATTTTATTATTGTAAGTAAACATGGTTTGATATTTTACTTTCACCTCCACTTTAATCAGTAGTGGTTTTCATGCTGTATACTTCTGAATGTTTGTTGTGGTTTTCTCAGTTTCTGATCTCTTTACCTGTGCAGTGTGAAATCAGTCGCCCAGGATCAGAAGAATGAGATCATGTCACAGCTTCAGACCATCCGCTACCTGATGAAGAAGAGGGGAATGGATTGTCCGCCCATCAACGGCAGTGGTGAGCTTATTTCACTAGCCAATCTGAAGGACACCAATGAACTTAATATTTACACACATACAATCCATGCAAAATATAAATGTATAGCATTGGTATTTTATTTTTAAATGAAAATAGCATCTATACATGTTTGAAAGGAGGACAAATAGTTTTTCAAATATTTTCAGGTAAAAGTGAGATGCTCTGTTCAGAAGAGACCAAAGTGTATCTTTTAGCCAACATATAAAAGGCTTGGTTTGGAGAAAAGAAAGACATGAACATTGCACATGACCCTAAGCATTCAGTAAAACCTCAATGGTGAAACAAGGTGGTGGAAGCATGTTGTGGGGATGCTTTCCTCAGCTCAGTCAGGAAAGCTGATCAGCTTTGTTGGGAAAAGGTAAATGACTGCTAATCCTGGAGGAAAAGCAGGAGGTTTAGCCCATAAAGACGTCATTAAGGCAGAGTGTCGAGACATTGTGACAACCGGATTGGAGTCCTAAATCCAACTGAGAAAATGTGACAAGACTCAAAAAGTGAGAAAATAGATGCTCTCCATCTCAAATGACTGAGGTCTTCCAAGGTAGGAGCAGTCAGCAAAGCTGTGGTTGCAAAAAGAGTTGATACTTTAAAAGCTCTTTAGAGAAAAAAAACAAAACATTATTTCCTTCCAGTTTGCAAACAAGTGTTGCTTGTTTTGTCCTGGTTTGCCACCTCAGATTAAAAGGAATAGCTCCTTACCAGCCCCCTGCAGAACTTTATGACTCACTAAGGAAGGAATTCAGCAATTCATTTATATTGATTAAAATACAAGGATCATCTAAAACCCAAAAGACACCAGCTTTTTTCGTTATAAAATGTGAAAGAATTAAATGGGTAAGAGTATTTTTATGAAGCCCTAGACTCAACTATAGCAGAATGTAGCCCTTGAAACAAGGGTCTATACTGGTTTTCTCCACTTTAATAGGCAAATTGGTCAAGTATTCTGCATTCAGTGGATCAAAGCTTGGATCACTGCAGACTTGTAGCAGCAGATGGAGGTTGAAAGCCTCAACCACAATGTTTGAATTCAGGCCAAGCAGCCTCGCTTCTACGTGTTTTAGTTTTGCAGGAAAGACAGCCTTTCTCTTTGTGGTCGGATTTAAATTTGCAAATAAATCAGTAGAACCCAGGTACTGTCTCATGCCTGTTTTACATTAAAGCATGTGGTTTGTTAGCACATGAAGACTAAAACCAAAACCAGTCGGCTTGAAAGCTTATTCTGCTGTTGTTTTTTTGTTTTTCCTTTTAGATGTTTCACAAGGTCGAAACCTGGATCAGCTGATTGAATCCATTGGAGCCAGTCAGACCTCAACAGCTACAGACACAGACAGCGTAGAAGCTCCTGAGGTTTACGAGCCGCCTTCTGATGGCAAAGACGAGGCTGCAGCAAAGGGGGAGGAGATGATGGAGCTCCAGCCAGAAGAATCTGTGAGCGAAGAAGAAGATTTAGAAGCAGAGGCGATGGATGATAAAGCAGAAGAAGACATGGAATGCTTGAAGCCGCCTGAGCTTGAGTCTGCTTCGTTGTCTCAGACAAACATTGAGGAAATCCGTGCAGAACCCGCAGCAGGACTCAGACGGCGCAACAGGCCTGAATGAACTCTGGGAGGAGATTAGAGATGTGACGGTTTACTTGGAATAATTCTCATCAGAAAGGCTTCCATGACTCATCCAGGCTTTATGTAGTTCTGTCTGCATGTTTAGGTGGAGGACACCAAGCAAAGATGCATTGAAGTTTTTAGAGCTTACAGGTTTATATCAATACATTAGAATATTATCAAAGATACCTATATTTTAGTCATTTCTAAAAAAAAAAAAAAGATTAAAATAAATTACAACAGATACAAATCTAGGGTTTATTTCCAATTTTGAAAATAATCTAAGACCAATGAAAAACCATTTTTATTTGACATATTACATGAATTACTTTAAAAAAAAAAGTTTTCCTTCCTTTAAATAAAAAAAAGAAATTATTTAGAGTCCATGCTCTTTTCTGGCTTCCCTATTGCTGGAAGTTAACATGGCTGCAAAGGACACTGCAAATTCCACATGAATGACTGTCACTACCCGATCCGTCCTTGAAGCGCAATCCCTACCATCGGCTCATTTGTGCATGTGCAAGCAGATATTCATCCAGGTCGCCATAAATAATGTAATCATGGTACTAAAAGTACTATTTTCTATCCTTAAATCACAAGAAATGCTAATGCATGTCTTTTTTTTTCATTTTCTATCTTAAACTTCTTGTCTGACATCATCGGACCTGCTCAGAGTAGTGCGGCAAAATATGATTAAACCATGTTTATCTGCATTTTAGTTGTTCCTTTCTTTAGATTACGCACCATGATGTTAACATGAAAGGAAAAATTCTTTTTTAATTGATGTTTAAAACAAAAGCAGAAAAAGTTAGCTCCTGGAAGTAGCATAGGATTACATTTCTAGTAGTATTTTTAACCCTCAACACATTATAGTTCAGTACGCCTACTATTTTCAAGGAAGGAAAAACTTTATTTAGGTCTATTTTACAAAGTGAAATACAGGCCGACCTGGATGTATATCTGGCTGCACATATGCAAATGAGCTGATGTAACGGATCATGCTACCGGTATGGATCGGGTAGTGACGTGACATTAAGCAGAAACAACTTTTTCACTGAAATTCATAAATATTTAATTCCATTTTCTTACTTTCCCCTAAGAAACTACATATGAATGAAATCTAAAACTTTCAAAATTCTTATTTATCATTATCATTTACATTTTTACCAATATTGTTGCATATCACGTTTTCCTAATATAGTAGAAATCCTTTCACACCTGAATACCAATATTGTGGGTTTGAAATTTCTGCTTTAAAAATCCTTCTCGCATGTTTCTTTTATAATATTGACGTTTTAATAGGACATGAATTCTGATCCTGCATTAGCTGGAATCAGAAATTATCAAAGCGAATCCAAACCAGATGTAATAATCTGTAATATTTGCACCTTGTTACCATGTAATAATCAGTGATGCTCCTGTTTGTTTAGATCAGGTCTTCAAAAAGGTTAAAAAAAACCAGGTTAATTAAACAAAGGTTTAATTAGCCGCATTCATTTGTCTTGTGTAAACATACTATCAGAGCCAACAATACTCCACACTACCTACTCGCGCTCTGACGCTAATGTTACCTTTGATGTTTGTTTTTTTTAAATCTGTCTGTTGAAGCCGAGCCTTTTCCTTGCCTTATCAAACACCTCTTAACACAAACCCCTCTTTAACCACCCAGTTGGTTGATAGTAAAAAAAAATAATTAAATAAAAAAGGCAATAGAGTAATGCTGGCTAGACCCTCCCCCACCTGTTGCTGTGCACTAGCAGTTAGCTACCTGAAAGTAGGATTTTGCTGTTATAACAGCTTTTAAATATTTTAAAGAAGACGATGCAGCTGGACGCTGTTAAAAGTCAGAATATACTGATTCTATAAATTCGAGCTTTGTGGCATGGTGTACATCCAAACCCAACTGCTTTAGGTTTACTTTTATTACTGCATGAATGGGAAATCCTTAAATCTACTGTACTACAAATGCACCCAAACTCTTTTTATGTATGTTACCACTCTGCCTTAGCTTCCATTTATCATTATTGTTGACCTGATATACGATTAATAAAAAAGAAAAAACATCTGTTTTGTCACACGACTTCACTGTAAGATTTTAGCAACATTTTCGCTAAAGTCAAATGAGTCCAAAATTGATAGGTTGTGTTAAATGGAATTTCTCCCCCATGGCAGCATATTCGGAGTGATCCACTGTCTTATCTGTCACTTGGAAAGAAGAGTTTGCCTTATTTATTTTGTCTCTGTTTTCATAGCCTATTTCCCATATATGTGTGTGTTGTTGCAAGCCTGCGATGACTGTTTCATGTTGGGGCTGAGCAGACAAAACTCAGCTTGCCTTGGTAGAAAATAAAATTTGAAAACAAACTGTTCATAACGTCTTATTTTAACCCTAAAGGGTAAGAGAATGTTGGATTCTGAACTTGTTGTGGTTCTTTTTTAACCCTCAGGGAGAATTTTCTATATATTACAGAAGCAGTTTTTAAAACTCGAAAAGTCAAACTTTTAACAACTTTGTATTGTTGTGACCAGTGGCGGCTGGTCAATAGAGGGCACTAGTGCGTCGCCCAACCCACTCAATGACCTTGATTAGAACAAAAAAAAACATAACATTTAAATTACAAAATTAAATAATAAGAAATAATATAAATATAAATAATAACATTTTGAAATATATTAATATATCTTTCAGATGTGTGAGATTAATATTTAATCTTCAATGACGAGTAAAGCTGTTTCGTTTGTCGTTGGATCTGTGACGTATTTCCGCCCCAGGGTGCAAAAATCTTTGGCCATAGACTTTTTTTTAAAGTTGTAAATTTGCAGCAGCTCCTCTGCAGTGCAGAAGGATAGGAGATCTGCAGAAGTTTGAGACAATTGGAGAGGGAGAGAGACAGAAATGAGGCAAGAAAAATGTAATTAAAGGAGAAGTCTGGTCATATTCAGAATACAAACTTCTTAAAGTACTTTAAATATGAGATTATTACATACCGTCCAATAAATAAGTGTTTTTTTTTAAGAGTCATTTTCATTGGAATGTGCTTTACAGGAGGCGTCCATGTTTGTCAAAGAACTCTACTGCCACCTACTGGTTTGTGAAGTCACGGTGCGGTATCGGCTGTTGAGCAAGTCCCAATGCTGTATCTGGTGTTTGTCACAATTCATCTTAAAAACATTGTTATTTGAAATGTTGGCTACATATTACATGTTTTTTCTCTGGCCAGAAACTCGATGGCAAACCCTCCCTCTTCAATTTGGCAACGACAAACCCGGATCATAAATCGGAAAGGTGAAATAACACATTTTTTTCACTTTTACCTGATGAATTACAACATCCGACTGCCATGCATGTGGGCATTGTCAGTTTAACTATACCCGTCGAGAATTTCAATGGTGAAGTCCTTGTGAAATCTTAAATAATTGTTGTTGATTGCAGATGTGTCCACTAGTTCCCATTGATTTTGCCTTTGGCTTACCGCACCATGACGATACTGCCGGAAGATGTCAGGAGTGAGATGTGACTATATTTGGGCACAAATGGCCTGTCCCAGACTCTGTGATGGTGACAAAAATAATTACTTTTATTACTGATTAACGTAAATTCATTAAATCACGGCCAACATATTAGTTTTAGGTATAGGTAATGATCCTTTGATTATTACTTGCTGACCAGACTTTTCCTTTAAGTGAAGTCCCTTAAAGCAAATTTACCAAGAGAAGCTGGAGGTGAAAGTGTTTTTTTATTATGAATGCCTGAGTGATCGGTGGAAAAAGGAGAAATAGAGCTTAGACTGACACAAAGTTACTGACTGTAAACAGTTCATCGTGACCTATTATGTAGGCCTACAGTTCAGAATTCATGTTTATCTGAATAAACAGTTATTAAACAGAAATACAACTTAATGAAAATTATTTATTTTCATCACCAGTTATCATAGTAGAAAGTCTTTCTCAAGCAGTTTGTGATGAATTTTGGAAACAGGAAATGAGCCCCTGATCTAACGCACCACCTGGATTGAGAAACCTGTTCCAAGACTTTATTTTACTCATTATTTAGGTAGCACACACATATCATCCTCATCTTATTTTATTCTTATATCTCATTTGTACTTATCTTATTTTTCTCTCTTCCTCAAATGGTTGCACTGCAAGAAAAAGGTTTTACACAAGGGATTAATAAAGTAATTCTGAAACTGATTTATGAAGCCCTTTGTTAGAATTCAAATCAGCCATTTTAATCTAGATTTATTCCAAGATTACAGTGAGATTAATCTAGATTTAAAAAAAATAATATATGCCCTTTTTAAATGTTTTAAAAATATTAGTGACATTAGAGAGAAAGCTTCATGAATATTAAGGTACACAGCTGACGGGTTAAGAATAATGTTGTGGGGAGCTGCAAAGATCCAAAGTCCAGGAAGACGAATAAAAAAAAAAAAACAATTGATAAATAAAAATCCTCCTGTAAAAGCCTAGTCAACAAGGACTTAGGTAAAGCTGAATACAAAGATGATTCAGTTATTTATTTCTAAATATCATGGGAAATGTTCAAAAACTTGTTGTTCTGCTTTAGTATTAGTATTTGTTTGGTATGTATCTTTATTTTTTATTTTTCTTATTCTAATGACAGCTGCTACTATGCACTTTGCCCTTTGTTCCATGACAAATTTATCTATAGGCTACAATAAATTCTATTCTATTCTATTCTATTCTATTCTATTCTATTCTATTCTATTCTATTCTATTACATTTCTAAACGATGTAGTCCTACTATTGTAATGATTTATCAAAGAGCTGTATTTACGACTTCAACCTGCAGGTGGCGCCAGTAGAGCATGGTAAAACCCATCTTGACCAGGTGAAATTAGAACCACTTTGGCCAAATTCTGGAACATCAGACTAATAAATGCAACTTTTTAATCTACAATATGAGAGAAATTTGTTTTTAAAAAAAAGTGATATTTAAAAAGTAATTCAAAGAGTCAAAGAGTTATTTGGAATAAAAGCTGCCTTATGAATAAGTATTTGGAGAAACGTTTCTGGAGCATCTTTGCAAATTGAACCCCCTCTTCTAATCATAGCTCATAATTAGACCATGCTGAGTTTGTTATTGTCTTTCTTTCATATAGCACCAGAAAAAGATCAGGGATTTATCGCAAATTAGCTCAGCTCTCAATTAGAAATGGCAACATTTAATCAGCTTACTTGTTTTCCCTTGGGATTCCCGCCTAATTCTGCTCAACAGTCTGTGGTGAGAAGCAGATATTTTATGAGCTTCGCTGTTATGAATGAGACTGA